GGCAGCCAGGCAACCCCAAAGCCTGGAAATGAGGCCTAGGAGTTCATCCAGGAACAAGACCCTCCACAAAGCCTGGGAGGCCCAGGTTCTCAGCCTCGGGGGCTGTCCCGCAGATGAGCAAGTACGTTTGCAGAATGAATGCTTGTTAGCATTTATCCATCAGCCTCTTAAGTCGCTTCTATTTAGAACTACAAATTAGCAAAACAAGGGCACTTCTTCACTAAGCCTTTTCTGGGAGCCGGGAAGCAGGGAGTTTGAAGGGGGAGGTGGAAGGGGAGCATCTCCTGCCAACTTGGGGTCCAGGCAAGCAGCGGGGCCTCCAGAGCCCCCAGCCTGGGGTGGCTCCCACAGCCTGTGCAGGCGACGCTCCCCTGGGCCTGTCGGGCTGTGCAGTTTCCAGTTGTCCCTGGTGTGGAAGCCACCCGTCAGGTGGAGGGGATCAATTAAATGCCCGAAGGGGCACTAATAGCCAAAGCTGGCGGAGTGTGACAGCTCTGAGTAGGTGACACCGCACTTCCCCGTCCCTTGGACCTGGGCCCTCCACCCCAGCACCCGGAGGCCTGAGACAGTGAGGCAGGCCGAGCGGTGCCCCGGCAGGTAGAGCAACACCCCCTTGGGCCCCCTGCCCAGGCTCACTTACCAGGTTCTATCAGTGGGGGTCGGCCAGTCAAAGGATATGGAGCCAGAGGAGGAGCCAGAGAGGTATGGAGAGGAGGAAGGAACCAGAGAGAAAAGATGGTGAGATCCACGGTCAGGGAAAAGGAGAGGGGCCAAGAGGGACCCCAGGAACACACCTGCTCTAGGAGAGCAGCCCCCTCTGCCCCCGAGGGACCACAGCCTCGGGGGGTGCATGCTCACAGGTGCTGGGGAGGTCCACGCAGCCCCTCATCCAGAAAAGGGGAAGGACACAGAGGAAGAGGTACAAGCCCACAAAGGGGGAGGCAGACTGAGCTCCTGTCTCCCTGAGCTCAGAGTCCACACCCAGAGCGGGTGGCAGGGCAGTGGGGAGGCTGGAGAGGAAGGGCCAGGTCCCTATGTCCTGCTCCCGGGAGCCTGGACAAAACCCCTGTAGGAAATGACCCCACGCACTGTTGGGTTTTAAATGTCCTAACATGGAAAATGTTAGAGACACGATAAGTACAGACCTGGAGAACATTCACACCATTCAGAAGTGGCCAGGGACACAGCCATCTTCCTTTCCCCGTTGCCCCGGCCGCGGAGAGCCTTCCCAAGGCCTCCCCACACCCAGCCTGGGGTCTCCTTCCCAGGACACCGTGTGTTCGGACACAAACGGGAGCACGCTATGCACGCTGCTCTATGTCGGGGTTTTTTCTTTTTACTTAAAGCTATGTCTTGGAGATAACTGCACAAATAGACGATGATGTTAACAACAATAACACAGCACACATTCACTGGGCACCGACTCTTGCCGGGCTCTGATCTGTGGTTACCGTGGAATGTCAGGAGCCCCTTGAGGCCACAGACCAGGCCTCAGGCACCGTACACACCCGTGGGAGCAGGCACACAGTAGGTGCTGGGAGAGTGATGGGGCTTCAGCAGTCTTTCCTCACCCAGTCCTCTGTGCGTCCTCTTCCCGCAGGCCACAGGGTGGAGACCAAAGAATGCCGGAGCTTGGAAACCTCTCCGGGGAAACAAGGCTCAGAGACGTTGAAGGTGCCAACCAAGGCTGCACAGGGGCCTGTGGCACAGCGAGGATAAGCTCCAGGCTGAGGTGCCCTCGGGCCAAAAGAAGTGGAGTCGGGGCCTGATGTGGGCGCCTCCCAAACGCAGGTCCAGTGCAATAGGAGTTAGCAGACCAAACTGAGCTGGTAACGCTGAGCACTTGGGGGAGAGGCCGCCAGAGGGTGGCCCGGCGGGGCGGCTGCCCCCGAGCAGAGAGTTCTAAACTGGCTTCAGGAACGAATGAAAGGAAAATGGACCCAGAGAAGGGACGCCAGGTGCAGAAAGTGGTTTTGAGCACGGTCTTAGTCCTTAGGGTATATCAGAACCTCCTGGGGGCTTTGTTAAACTAGATTGTTGCCCTCCCCCAGGAAAACAGATTCAGTAGGTCTGGGTTGGGGCCTGTAAATTGCATTTCTAACAAGTTCCAGGTGCTGCGGTTATGCTGCTGGTCTGAGACCACCTTTTGAGAGCCACGGGCCTAAGCACAGGCATGGAGCTGGGAGGGAATACAGTGGGGCCTTGTGTACTTAATGATGAGTCCCACAGGTGAGCTGATTTGCAAAGGGTCCGTGCAGGGAAGCTGGCCTGACTGCTGGGATCATGGGAGGCGTTGTGGGCCTCCCGAAGTCCCACCGCGGGTACCATCTTGAGGGCTTTCGCATCGCTTCCACAGGCAATGGGGAGTGCTCCATGCTCTCTGAGCAGCGGAGGTCAAAGGAGGAAGGCGAACTTGGCAGCCACACGTGAGCCACACCAGGGCAGCCCTTCTCATCTTGCTGCATGAGAGAGTTGCCAGCGGGCTCTGCAAAGAAACACGGATGCCCAAGGCCACTGCGTCACATCCCTCAGGGTGGAGCCCCGACAGCTGTTTTTTCCGACGCTCCCAAAGGCAGCACATTGCACAGCCAGGGTCAGGAAGACACTATACACAGGGATGCAGAGGGGAGAGGCAGAGTGGAAGTTCTCCACCGGCCACACATCAAAATCGCCTGGGGACTCTAAACTATTCCCATGCCTAGGCGGTACCCCAGACCAAGGAAATCAGACCTGTGGGGTGGGAAGGGCAGAAGGCAACCAGACATCAGGATTCTGTAACCCTCTCCAGATTGTTCATTCTACTGTGCGTCCCGGGAAGGGTGAGAGCTCCTAGGGCAGACCAGTGGTTCTCTGAGGGTGGTACCGGGATCCTTGGCATCAGCATCCCCTAGGAATTGCCAGTAATGCAAATTTTTGGGCCATGCCCAGTTCTATTGAATTAGAAAACCTAGAGGGGGGGCCCGGTGCTGGTTTTGTTGGTGGTAGTATTTTGTTAATCCTCTCCCGAGGATATTTTTCCATTGATATTCAAGGATAGTGGAAGAGAAAGGGAAAGATAGAAATATCACTGTGAGAGAAACACCTCAAAGTCCAGATCAGGGCCCAGGCCTGTGAGGAGCCTGCAACCAAGGCACATCCCCTTGACCAGAATTGAACCCAGGACCCTTTGATCTGCAGACTGACGCTCTATCCACTGAGCCAAACTGGCTAGGGCCCCAGTGCTGTTTAAAGGAGCCCTCCGTGTGTTCTGATACACACTCAAGTTTGAGAATCACCAGGATGGAGCAAGGCTGGGGAAGGAGCAAGGCTGAGAAGAGCAAAGAGGATCAGTCAGACAGATATGGTGGCTGAGCAGCTGGGGAGAGAAAGTGAGTTAAAACCTTGGGGGGTAGGGGAGGTGGTAGTGCTGGAGCTGTGATCACGTGCACAGGCAGAGAGGGTGCTGAGCTGGTGTAGATTCAGCTTGTGCACCTGGCCAGGCCTGAGCGCTGGGTTTCCTGCCCCGTTGGGCTTCCTGGGAGGTCTCTCACTGGATGAGGCCTGACACTGCAGCTGCAGGACCCTCGCAGGGCTGTCCTGAGATCCCAGAGCCACTTTCTGGCTAAGTCCCCTCAAATGCTCAGCCTGCCTCGGCTAGGGGGTAACTTGTTCAAGCCACACAGCTGGCATCAAAGGAGTGGACCTGCAGTCTAAGTTCTTAATCAACCTCTCCTGGCCTCTCCAGTGCCCCTCCCACTGCAAAGCGCAGCTCCACATCCAGAGGAGAGCACTGTGGGCTCCCCGCCCCCACCCTGCACAGGGCACCTCTCCCAAGGTCAGGGAAGTGGGGCTGGTGGAGGGCCCAGCCCTCTGGTCCCAAGCCTGGCTGGGCCTCCTCCCTCACTGCCAAGCCCTGCAGGGGGCTGCTTGGTGGGGTGAGATGGGAGGGAGGGAGCGAGGGAGGCGGAGAGGCAGGAGGCCCTCTTGGAGCTGATGAGGGGCAATTTTGTTGGGAAGGGAGATAAAGAGGAACATCAAAAGGAGTCCCAGGGTGTGTGGAGAGGAACCCGGTGGATTAAATTCTCCTCCAGCTGGGAGCGCGATGAGAAGGCTGATAGCTGGCAGCTGCGGGTCCTGGAGCCTAGCAGCAGCGCCCACCCGCCCCTTATCAGGCTGGGGAGCCAGCGCCGCGGGGCTGTGAGGGTTTGGCTTTATTTACTTATCGGAGGGGAAAGGACACTCCTCGCCTCCGCTGGTCCCACCCCATGCAGCAAGCCGTGCTTTGCTGTGGTGACTGAAGTCTTGCCACCCCCCATGGAGGGCAGCAGGACAGCCGGGCATTATCAGCTGCTGCCAGAAGGGGCTGGGTCCCTCCACTCCCCAAACCTGGCTCTCCCACCCCCCGTAAGTGGAGGGGTGGCCCTGAGAGCCGCCAGAGCAGGCACTCACTGCCCAGAGCGACCTCCTTGTCTCTGCAGTGACCAGCTCTGCGGCTCCGCGAATGGACCCAGTGTTGTTTCTCAACTATTTACTGAGAGGTTATTCTGGGCTGGGTTTCCACAAGCATCCGCTCACTGACTGCTCACACCACCCTGAGGCCCAGAATGGGATTTACATTAAGGATGGCCCCTAAGGTTGGCCGCTGCGGGTGGGCTAGCGCGGGGAGTCCTGGGTTCTCTCTGATCCTGGCCTGACGCTCTCCGAGCAGGCTCTCAGTCATCGCCTGTGGGCTCTGGGCACTGGCACTTCCCTCAGCAGGTGGCCTAGTCCCCCAAAGGGAGGTGCCCTGTGGAGGGGGGGAGCCCACAGTGCTCTCCTCTGGGATGTGCAGCTTGCAGATGTCTCCTGCACCCCTCTGGCTCTCCCTGGCTCTCCCCACCCTGACACACCGCCCTGCTGACGGAGGCACTAGTTAGCCCCGTGGCGATGCTCTCCCCCTGACTTTGGGTCAGAGTGGTAGCTGTTTGGCGACTCAGTGGTGTGAGGCAGTGGAGCGAGTGGTGGGAACAGGACCCGCATCTTCCTAGCTGTGTGACCTTGGGCAGCTCCCCTCCCCTCCTGCAGCCTCAGTTCCCTCATCTGAGAAGTAGGGAGAGGGACACGCCACAGGAGTAAGAAGCAGGTCATCGCTTTCCCCGCCATGTTCTGAGAGCCTGGAATGCATTCTTCCTTTGTACCGCAAATGCTAGGGGACCCTCACCCCACCCTATGATGTGCCTTTAGCTCCTTTTAACGGGAGAAGAAAGACCAGGGTCATGCAAAGGCCAGGTGGACAAGGGAAGGCAGCAAGGGCCAAGGCGGTCTTTACATGGGGGCGGGCTGTGCAGTTGTGCATCAGGACGGGCCGGGGCCCTCCCGAGGCACCCACGGAGTGCTGTGGGCTGGTGGGGCACCCTGAGCCCAAGCTGGGAACAGGGCAGGGGGCCTGCAGTGCAGAGAAGGGCCCCAGAGTAGTGTCACCCTCACAGAAGCCCTGTCCAGAACGTAGGCCTGCCAGGGAGGAGCCCATGACCAGTGATGCCAGGGTGCGAAGCCCTGAGCTTCAGTGCTGGCTGAAAGCACACACCTGACCCCTGCTTTGGGCACTGCCCATTTCCGCAGTGTGGTTTTGCCCAAAGAATTTTATCTCCTTGAGCCTCAATTTCCTCCTCTGCAAGATAAGGCAGA